GAAATAAAATAAATAAAAGTGATACAATGTTGACCACATGTGGGTAAAAGAGGGTTTTGAACTGGTACATTATTAATTACACGGTTTGGAAATTTAGAAAGGAAATTTTTAATTGAAATTGGAGGGTTGGGGAGTAATAATGAATCAAAAATTAATATATTCTCTGGGTTTATTATGAAAAATGCAATCCAATGTGATCCTTTCTGAGAAGATTTTTCAAAGTTGACGACCATTGAACAAGGATATTTTTGAAAATCTTGTGGGATTTTATCTGCAGCAAAGCATCCAATAAAATGTCTTCTTGTAATTCTATTTTGTGATAAAATTTTCTCGATTTGTAATGTGTCCATTTCTGTAAAGGAAGGAAATGTTTATATCTCTCTTTGTATTTCTCCAAGTTCAATGTCTTTGCTGATGGGTTTAATCTTTAGAAATTTTCTAAGTTGATAGGCTAAAGCTGTAGCTAATAATAAAAGCCAGAATACAATTAATGAAATGCAGTAAATAGCCTGAGCTATTGATGTTTCTGATGAAGGAAAATCTTTGCAAATGGAAGGAATTTGTACACTATTCACATGTTCCATTGACCATAAATCCAAAATTGTAATATTTTTGTCTGGGTTAAATATAGAAGCTAGACGACTATTATTTTTAAATCTTTCAGGAAAAATTGAGAATTTTGTTGTATTATTAATTTCAACTGATGGTGGTATTGTATTGGCGTAATAACCTATATATTCTCGTAATTTTTCTCTATATTCTAGATTATCATTTTCATTAGTCATAGAATACTGTAGTGATAATTTATACAAAAAGAAAAATAAAATAATTAAAACAATGCTAAATTCAATTTTAATAGTAATATGGAACATTTTTAAATGAAATGGGAAATGAAAATTTGAGGAAAAATTTAGTGTATTTATACTGAAATATCTGTGGAAATTGTTCTGTTTCTATCTAACATGAGCAGAGAATCAATTTCACCCATGGCCACTAGTACAATCCCACCACTTGGAACCGCCTCATTAAATGTCATTCTTATACTAGTTGTACCATTTTTTATCAAATCAAACATCTCTGGTCCATTATCTTCCTGACTATTTGTGAGGTTAAATACGAAAAAGCAATATCCTGCATAAGCATACCGAAACATAGATATACCGTTACTTTCTAACGATCCCGCGTATCCTATAGCTTCTTGCATGTCATGATAAATTCTAGCGTAGTTTCCTTTTGGAAAATCAAGGGAATAAGGAGCTGATGGATAAGTAACTCCCCCAGCAGTTATAGAAATATCTCTCAAATTAAAATGTTGAAAATAAAATGGAGTTGTCTTTTGTTGTCCTACAAAATCTTTATTTCCAACCATTCCCAATATAATTCTTCGAGGCACCTGATCCATCCATAGATTAGCATTAAATTCTGTTCGGTTTTCACTAATAAATAGTGATTTTAAAGATGTTTTCCTTAATGGATATCGTGCAGGTTTCATTTCAAGTTTTTTTGCAATATCAAATGCTAAACTGTCCATTAGCTCAATCTTTTTTACATATAGCTTGCAAGCCAAGATTTCCAAATGGTATTTTGGTGCAGTGTCCCAGGGAGCACTGAGTAAGAAACTTGATTCGTTTGGGAGTAATTCAATATCAACTTCGCATTGATTAACTAAATATCTTGGCTGATTACAAATATCAACGTCTAATTTGGCCATAAATTGTGCACTGCGCGGGTTTCCATCTTCATCTAAGAATAATCTTTTCCTTGATTTTATTCCATATCCATTTGCATCAACTCCTGGATATGTTTGTGTGGCTCCATCATCATAATATCCCGCTACAGAAAGATAAGAGTTTTTTACACTTTGTGGGTAGGTTAGTTCGTAGTCAAAAATACTTTTGTATGCCATGAGGGAGTTCCCTTCAAAAACCTGAGTTCCATTAATGTGCATACGGCAATTTTTCCAAATTGTATGACCTATAAGTTGCACTGCCGATACATTATCATCCTTTCCTATATCAACAAGTTTCCCATCTTTGTCTTCTTTTTTAATCCTAAGTTCAGTAAAAACATAAGTTTTGGCCAGATCGATATAATTTGTAGTCGCATGAATTTTAAAATGAAAAGGGGTGATATTTACAGGGTTAAGTGTGAGTAATTCAATAAATGAGGAATTGCTGATACTGACATTCGTATGGGGAGTTTCGAAAAACGATAAAGCATTTGTTATTGCGTTGCCAGAATCACGATCAATTTTCTGATGAGTAGACATTTTTATTTAATAAAGACCGAATGTATCTATTTTTTGACGTTTCTTTTTTGGATTAAGAGAGGGATGTTTACCAATAATGATTTGATGACTTTTTTCCTTTGAAAATGTTGAATGAGGTTTACGATTTCTTTTACGTCCTTTTATACTGTCCCTCCCTTGCAATCCGGTTCCAAACTGCTTTGACATTCCACCTTTCTCAAGTAATCTGTCCAATCCGCGTTTTCCCTCACTTATTACTGCTTGCTTAAAATTTGGTTTAAATTCATCATTGCCATATTCTGAATTCCCGACACTTTCCAAAATTCTTCCTCCAGTATCCAATGCTTCTTTTGCTACTGCTGTACCCGCCCGTTTTGCATATGGTAAAAGGAAACGCCAAAAATTTCTAAGTACATCTCCGACTCCGCCACCAGCTTGTCTCCCGTATCCGCGTTGATAGGGATTAAGTCCACGAAAATAGTAATAATTTTCATCAGTTCCTTCTCCTATTTGGCTAATACTTGTATGGTGGTCATCGTATCCGATAGTTCGCGGATCAAAGGGGATATGAACCATATTTAGATTAGAATAAATGATGTTTTATAAGTGACAATATTATCCAATATTAATGAAATTAGGTTGAAAATTTATTTAATAGAAATCGAATGTTAGATAAATTTGTGATATATTGTAAAAATAACAAAATTAATTAATGGTGTTTAAATTTTTATTAATAATTATTTTTTATTATAGATTTATAATAGATATGTTTTATTAATGGAGAACTAGTTTTTAAATAAATATTTTAAATTTGGCATTTTGTCACATGACATTTTGAAAGTTGGCATTTTGTCAATTGACATTTTGTCGATGTGGCATTTTGTCATATGACATTTTGTTACTGTGGCATTTTGATTGCTGGCATTTTATCGGGTGACATTTTGAAATTGGCATTTTGTCATTTGACATTTTGTCGCTTGACATTTTTAAATTTACTATTTTATCGGGTGGCCTTTTGGTCATCGGCCTTTTGTCTTATAGCATTTTGTCGATGTTGCATTTTGTCAAGTGACATTTTTAAAGTTGGTATTTCGAAATAATTAGCTCCGCCCCTTACATTCGTACTTCCGTTCATTTTTTAAAATCATTTTAATTTTTTTCTAAAATTTTGTCAAATTTGTTTCTCCCATTTTTAATTAATTATTTTTAGATTTTATAATTTATGTATTTTTATTATCCTTTGATATTGAGAAATTTTTTGAAAATTTTTAAATGCCACCCCCCTTCCCCCAATTTTTAAATTTGGCATTTCGAAATCCCCTTCAATTTGTACTTCCACTCTTTTTTTCAAATCATTTTATTTTTTTGTCAAAATTTTGTAAAAATTTTTTCTTCCCCATTTTTTAATTAATTATATATATATTTTTAATTTTTAATTAAAATCTTTTTTTAATTTTTAAATTAGAAATTCCCCCAATTTTTAATTTTTGAATTCCCTCCAATTTATAAATTTACCATTTTGTCAGTTGACATTTTGAAAGTTGGTATTTCGAAATAATTAGCCCCGCCCCCTTACATTTGTACTTCCGCTCTTTTTTTGAAATCATTTTAATTTTTTGTCAAAATTTTGTAAATTTATTTTTTATTATTTTTATTTATGTAATTAATATTATTTTTATTTAATTTATTTTTAAATTAAAAAGTCCCTTTAAAAATATTTCAAAATGTCAAATTTAATAATTTAAAACTTTATTATTTTTTCCACCCAGATCGCTCTTTTTTCTTAAACGTATTAATTTATTTGACACCTGTCATCACCCTTTACCTTCAAAAAGTAATTAATCATTTTAAATATGATTAATTACCCTCAACCTTTTATTAATCTCCCTTGAACCCCTTCAAAAGGTATAGGTTGGCGGCATAATCAAAAGAAAAAAATCATCAAAAGGTTTGGGTTTGGGGGGTGGGAGCGATTTGGGGGGGGTTAACTACTAACTGGGACAAAAGGGTGGTTAGAAAAGAAAAATAGTGTGGTAAAAAAATTGTTCCCATTGGTTGTTTCCCATTGGCTCCCAAACCTTTAAGTTTCCATTGGTCAATCACACATTTGTTGCACGTTGTGCAACAAATGGGTGGGTCCTGCAACAAATTGGTGGTAAAAGTGGTGGTTAGGAAAATAGAATGTGTCTTCACCTTTTGGCTTCCTTTGATTTGCCGACACACCCCTCCTTTTGTCCCACTTTCAAGTGGGACAAAAGGGGGGGGGTTACTACTAAATTAATAAAAATATTTTCAATAAACATTATGTTAAATTCCTTATAAAATTTAGTCAGAAATCTTTGTAGTTTCTGGAGGAATGTTAAAGGATTTGTCCATATTCATGAAATTTTAATAGATTTTTAATGTAAATTAACATAAAAAATTTAAAAAAACATGAAGTTACAGCTAATTTTTACTAATTCGTTAAGCTTCAAATAATATTTTCTAGATACTCTTAAATCTTTAATCGTGATTATTAATCCGACGTCCTAGTATATGTATTATTATCCGTTTCTAATCTATTTAGTTTTAATAAAATTAGATAAATAATGCGAAGGACAATTCTTGATTCAAAGAACAAATTTTGTATATTTTCTATATTTTTAAATGGTTGGGGGAGAGGGATTTTAGATGTTTAGAATAATTTATCATTTGTATAATTTAGAATTTTAGAAAATTTATACAATTTTATTAATCTTATTTAAAAACATACATTATCAAACTCCCTTAACTCTGTATCCATTTCTTCGGCTTCGAAAGAATAAGTAATGCGTTCTGTAAGTCGATCGAATTGATATACCATATGATTATTCATTTTTTTGAGAGCCTTATATTCATCTGACTCTGTCTAATAAGTAAAATAGTTTTAATTTTAATATTCAGATTTTTTATTATTACATATGATTTTTAGTGGAAAAAATAATAAAAGAAAAATTAATATAGGCTTACAGTTATTAATTTTTTTTCTCTCTAAAAAACTAAAGAATTTTTAGGTTCATTCCTTCGGTAACTGATATCAAAAGATTTTCTATGATCAGAAATCACTTTTAGAAACGCAATATTAACAATATTTACTATTAATGATATAAATCGTTAACTTATGAAACATTAATGGGTATTAACTAGAGACCGGCAAAATCGCATTTCCGAGATCCCGAGTCGGGATTTTTTTTCTTGACCGATGCCGGGACGGGATCCCGAGGGAGAAATCCCGAATTTCAAAAATCCCGAAAAAAATTATACGGGATCACGCCCGGGATTCGGGATTTTTTTCAAAATAAAAAATTTAAACTTTTATGAATAAAGTGCATCAAAATACTGCAATTTATACTAAGTAAATAAAATTAAATTTGTAAAAATATCAATAATTTTTTATAATTGGATTGTCCTCCTCCTTTAATTCCCTCTATAATGGATTTAGAGGGATATCGGTGGATTAATCACTAGGTCCCTTGATAATATCCCACTATGTACTAATATTCCTTCACTTTACTCCAATAGTAACTCAAAACGTATCCGTTTTCAGCGCCGCAGGCGAAAATTTTTAAAAATTTGGATGATCCTCAAGCCAAAAATCTTCCTTTTTTGCGCCGCAGGCGAAAATTTCAAGAATTTTGGAGTTCCTTAAGCCAGATTTCTTCCTTTTTCAGCGCCGCAGGCGAAAATTTTGAGAATTTTTAGAGGACAAGAAGCCATATTTCTTCTTTTTTCAGCGCCGCAGGCGAAAATTTTGAAAATTATAAAAATCCCGAAAATTATAAAAAAATGTTCGGGATCTCGAGTCGGGATTTTATTTTTTAACCGATGCCGGGACGGGATCCCGAGGGAGTAATCCCGAAAAAATCCCTGATCCCGAATGATCCCGAAAATCAAAAAAATCCGGGATTTCGGGATCCCGGAAAATCCCGTCGGGATTCCGTCCCGCGCCGGTCTCTAGTATTAACACAAATTAAATTATTAAAATTTATTTAAATGTTCACCTTGCCTGTAATATCTAATGAGGCAGTCAATAAGGCTCCAAACGGAATTGCTAATTTTAAGAACGCTGCGCTTGTTTCCTTGATTAATTTTAATTTTTCAGCATAATCAACACTAGTTTCCGCTAATTTGTCGAATCTATTTGTGATTTCTTCGACTAGTTCCTCGGCTTAAGTTATTTATTTATAATAAAATTTATAAAACTAATTTTACGAGTTTTTTTAATTTCTATTTCATTTTCAGCAAGATCAAAAGAGTCGTAATCATTTAAACCAAGTGCTTTAATTTCATTATTTAACAGGAAATTTATTAAAATTAATATTAATAAATATTTCATTATCTTAATATAAAATAAATTTTATCGTTTTTTATTTAATAACTACTACAGTTCGAAGATTGAAACATGCCGGATCCCGTTTTGGGATTATGAATTTTTTTATCCAGGCCAGATTTCCCGGATCGAAATCTCGATTTTCTAGACCCGTATCCGGACTTGGATTTTCAAAAAAATTTTTAAAAAAATTTTGCATAAAATATGCGATTTAGTGAAATTGATTAAATAGCAGGACATTTAAACATTATTGACTTAAGGCAAGGTTTTTTGAGAAACATCAAAAGGGATATAGATGGCATGGAGGATATTTGGGAATATATTGGGATTCTATGGGATTAAGGTTGAATCGGTTAATTAAAGTGAATATGGAAAGATTTATAGAAATTAAGAAGCATATAATTAGGAGGGATATAGGAGATTAAGATGGTACCGAGAGATTTAGAGTAATCGGTCATTTGTTGGATCAAGGGTGATATCGGGAGATTTGGGGGTTCTATCCACCTTGATCTCTGGAAATCTACGTTTATCAACATAAATCTCCGATATCCATCAACTTCTATATACTTCAATGGGGTACGGTATAATCTATCTGTCTGCCAAATTTCATCCCGAAGTCCCGCGGACACCTCACAGCCTCTCCTTTGTGAGGAATAAGCAGTGTATCCATTTTTGCGCCGGAGGCGAAAATTTTTAGAAATTTTGTAGATCAAGATGCCCGATTTCGTCCAATTTCTTCCACTTCCAAATTTTTTTCGTTTTCCTTAATTTTGGAAAAAGGGGGAAAATACAACCAGTTTCTAATATATAGGTTTCTAATACAACCTCAGAACTTCTGTTTTGCTTACGCGTTTGCAGCAGGGTGGCCCCTTCTAAAACACTAAAATATGGCGCAACCACTCAAAAATAGGGCAAAAATAGGGTGAAATCGGCCAAAAATAGGGCAAAAATTAGGGCATAGAAATAAAAAAAAAAACAAAAATTAGGCATAGAAATATATTGTGGAAAATATCCTTAAAATTTCAAATAAGGCGAAAATTTTGAGAATTTCGGAAGCCAGGAAGTCAAATTTCTTCCATTTTTAGCGCCGCAGGCGAAAATTTGAGAATTTTAGAAGGCAAAGAAGCCAAATTTCTTCCATTTTTTGCGCCGCAGGCAAAAATTTTGAGGATTTTGGAAGGCCGGGAAGTCAGAAATCCTTAATTTTAAACATTTTTCTTACAAAATCCGAAGAATTTTTGAAATTTTACAAGATGGTAAAAATAGGGCAAAAATATGGCAAATTAGAAAATAGGGAAAAAATAGGGCGAAAAGGTCAAAAATAGGGAAAATCCTCTATAAATAGGGTAAAAGGGCCACTCTGGTTTGCAGATGCTTCTATTTCAAAAGTTCGCAGGTTCGAATAATTCCAGTAGAAAAGATTTGAGAAAATATATTAATTACTATAAAAAGAAAATAAATTAATTTTATTAGTTGCTATAACAACTGTAATTTGTGTTAATAAAAATGGATATTCTTAAAGCTTGAATTGGTAAAAAGTTATAAAAAGGATATTTTTCAGTTATTAGAACAATTTTAATTGGATTTAGCTAATAAACAATTATTTAATAATATAAAATATATATAATTTAAAATTCATATCCTAGTTTAAATTTATTATTAAATTTAAATTAAATAATATAATGTTGTGGAAAATATCCTATAATATAAAAAATTTTCATTTAAAACGCTATCTAAAGAATGAATGTAACTTTCTTTAAATTTATAACCTTTTAAACATTTTTGAAATTAAAAAAATTTAATTAAACATTTTATTTATAAAAATATGTATGATTAGTATGAAAAACATTTTTTAATTTAAAATTTAATTTATTTGTACAAATGTTGTCATATGTTATTTTAGATTTTAGTTTTTAATTTTTATAATTAAATATCATTTTCCTTTTCAATTTGGTGAATTTCCGAATTTGTTTTATTTTTACAATAGCATTTCTTTGAGCAAAATATGAATAAAATTCTAACATTAATAATTTTTCTAAAAAATGTTTAATTTTAAATTGATTTTATTAAAATGGAATTAATAAAATTTTTGATCTTTTAAAATAAAATTACTAGACTGAGCTCTTAAATTTAATTTCTAATATAAAAATGAAATAAATAAGATTTAGATTAACAAACAGAAAATGGCCGAATAAATGTTATGGTATGATAAAACAAAACTTCACTTTCGATAATAAATTTTAAGCGTTTACTTTAATTTTAATTCTTATTTATACATCTCAATTTTGACAGCAATAAAATTAAATTTGACAGTAAATTGATAGTGGTACTCCAACATAAATCTGATCTAAATTATTAGTGATAAAAATTTCTAGTACTCTTGAGTTATCCGCTCATTTAATTGACCCCTATTCCCCCTTTTCTCTTTACGATATTTTAAAGAGCTCTTCGAGCGACTATTGACATCAAAATCAGCTCGATTCGATGATTTTTAACAAAATTACGAAGATTTTCTTTAGGAAAATTATCTCTATTAAACCTTTAAATTTATATTTTTAGGAAGGTGTTCTCCTCCCTTTAAAAAGTATTATCGACGCTGTAGTTTATGGAATAAATATTCCTGGCATCGAAGGTAGTATAGGGATGGCAGCGATTGTAAGAAATCGAATTGAACAAACACCAGATGAGGTTTTTGGATTATTTTAAAATAAAAATAAAATTAATTTAAAGGAATTTCTTCAACAATTAAGCTCGCGGCTTAGAGCAGCTTTACCTCCTTATGCAATTCCTCGATTTATTCGTATTTGTAGTTCTGTTGACAGAACTGGTAAATTGTGTTTTTATAAAATATATTTTTTTAATTTGGCTATCACCTAGTGATGTTGAGACTCTCGTCTCGGTTCCCTTGTCGGGAAATTTCTCGGGGTTTTTGAGCTCGGTCTCGGTTCGCGGTCTCGACTCTCGGCTTTTTTAACTCCTGAACATCACTAATATAACGTTCCAGATAATTAAAAGAAGATCCCCTATCTAGGATACCCCTCTTTATAAGCTATGATTTTTGCAGTCTCATAGGTATCTTATAAACATATCTGACTGTTAAGGTCAAAAATTCTTCCCTAAAATATATTTTCAAAGAAAAAACCCAATAATTTTTTAATAGGTACATTTAAATTAGTCAAAACAAATTTGCAAAGGTTAGCACTTGGCAACCCCCCAAGTATTTCCTTGGATGATCAACAACGGGTTTTCTTTTTTGATACAAAAATAAAGCAATATATGCCTCTTTGTGAGGATTTACGGCAAAGGCTTGAAGAAGGAAAATTAGAACAAAATGATTTAATGAAAATTTTTGCTTAAATTGTCATTTAAAAAAATTTTTATTTTGCCAAATTTATTAATTATATAATTTTTTGCTCAAAAATATATTTTTTAAAATGATTTTCTTTAATTTTCTTTGCGAAGAAATTCCGGGAGATTAAAAATTTTTTAGATCCAAAGATCCAATTCCGAGTTTCTACGTTTTCTCCTTCCGATTTCCGACTTTTGAGCCATTTCCGATTTCTTACAGTTCCGATTTCCGACAGTTCCGATTTCCGGCACCTGCGTCATTTCTGACCGACCTCTGATCCACAAAAGAAAACTTTTAGTTTTTAGAAGCCAAGACACAGAATTACTTTTTATATCGCTTCCCAAAAATGAAGCACTTTTACATTAGTTAAAATATTTGTTGAAGTACTGTAATTCCATTACTCGGTGATTTTCTAGATTTTAGATATCGAAAAAGAAATAAGTTACAGACTTCATTCTTTTTTATTACTAGATATACGGATCTAAAATATCGAGATTTTAATCAAAATCAATTAACAATTCCTTTAATTCTAATCCAAATATTTAAAAACATCAATAAGGAAGTTTACAAAATATTGAGAAACAAAACGTGTTTAAAAATTAAAAAAAAATTATTTTCTTGAAAATATATGTAAATAGGCTTCTTCCTCATTCATGATAAACAACTAAGAACAAACATTGTAAATTGGAAATACAAAAAATATCTGTTCCATTCAAATTAAACAAAATTTTTCTCGTTATACATTAACAATTATATATCAATATAACGTTTTGGTTTGACATCGTTTTATAAATGGTTGAGATGGGACAAGTTTTGTTTGTTAATATTTGTTTATGAATAATCGTGGCCACAAAAAATTACAAACCGTTAACAGCTGTTAGAATGGTTTTGAGAATGAAAGGAGGAACAATAGACCAGTAAACAATTTAAATAACAAAATTCAGCTTATAAAGGATGATAGATTCATACAAATATTACAATATAGTAAAATTAAAATATATTGACTTCAACAATGAAGTCGAAAACACTTTATGTGTTAATAATATGTGCGAGCTTTATGGTAACTACAATCGAGACGACTATATGCAGCAACACTCCGATTATTTATAATAATTTGGTAAGATAAGGAAAAGGGGATTCAGCTGACGCTTAACCGAGGGTCTACGATATGGCTCCGATCTCAATTTTTGAAAATCCGCAATTTTGAGCTAAAAAATCCGCATTTTATATCAAAAATTCGCAAAAAATTATCAAACGCAAAAATTCAATTAACTTCATTTTATGCGTTATATTGTCTGCACGGTTACAAAACTTTCCTTCTCCCATACTTTTTAAAGTATCTCTAATTAAATAATATATTTAAGAAGCTACCATCAACAATTAATCTTGTAAAAGCGGGATTTGGAAAAGGATTTTTACCAGACAAGTATATTGCAATTAATGGTGTATTTCTTGAATATCCAAATCGTTTTAAATTTTATTTGATGGAAGATGGCGAAAAGTTAAAAACTGCTAACATTCCATTCGCTTTCCAGGCATACCTCACACGCTACTATAGAGTAATTTAAAAATTAAAATTGGTTTTTATATCCTATATTTATTTTAGTTTAACCTTAATGATTGGATAAAACCCAAAAAGTGGGGACGACCTGAATGGTATAGATTACCTTTTACAGCTGGTAAACCATTCATTTTGGAATTTGTTGCAGCGCCAAATAACACAATAATTGTAATTATTTATACAATTGTTACTTAATTTTAAGTAGAGGTCGGCAAAATCGCACTTTCGGGATCCCGAGTCGTGATTTTTTTCCTTAACCGAGGCCGGGACGGGATCCCGAGGGATAAATCCCGAAAAAATCCCGGTGTCAACTAAAAGCTTACTTTGACAAATAAATTTTTGGGGAAGCTAGGTCCCAAGAGTTATTGAATAAAGTGAATTAAAATAAAATATTTATTTGTAAAATTAAATTTAAAAATACAATTAAATATAGTTGTAAAGAATTAATGGAAAATTAAAACTGAAGAAGATATGGAAGATCTGCCTATTGTTTATATAGGGGATTTAATGGACAATAGGCAGAGATTTAAACAATAATGAATAGAGAAGTGATATGGAAAATAGTATTAACGAGGGGTGAAAAGACAATAGTTTCCGGAAAAAAGAAGAGAGAATAAAGGGTCAAAGTGGAAGCTTATGGGAAAATAATTTATGAAATTGTCTGTCGTGGACAGGTGAAATAAAGGGAAAAATAGGAAGAAATATTTAAATTTATTAATAATTATAATTTCGTGTTCCTTACACGACACTGGCGGCCGCGCGAAGACGTATTTCCTCGCTTCTTTCTTCTTCGTCTTTCTTCTCATCTTTAATTTTCCTCATTATTGTGTTCATGATTATTTCTTCTGTTTTTTCTGATTCGGGTGTTTTTCCTATCATTATTAATACCTGTGCCAAGAATCTTCCGATTCTGGTATTTTTTATATATTTAAGTAGAAAAGGGAGAATATTATCGAATAGCCAGATGTATGTTATATACAGAGCTACCATTCTAATCCACATTTTTTCAAGATTAATTTCCCAAATTTTTTCAAGAATGCTTGTAAGTGGATTTTTGACTGTTTCTTCAGTGTGTACGTATTCTCCATTTTTTATTGCATTTTCAATTTTTTCTTGTTCAAATTTTTTGTCTATTCCATATGTTTGGAACATTTGAAGAATTTCAATTCTAGGGTCACTATAGTTCTTTATAATTAAGTTGTGGAATGCGTGTGTTTCAATTTGAGGGATGTGTATCGGCTTTTGTAGATCAAGTGTTAATTCATGTATTTGTTTTTCATTTATTTCTTTACTTTTTCCCGTCTTCTGATCAATTCTCAACAATTTTTTCTCAATAAATATAGTTATAAATCTCTCATATGAACAGGGTGTTTCGCTCGATTTTTCTACTATAGTTAATGTTTTTGGTTCAAGGAATGCTTTTATTATTTTTTCTTTTAAAGTAACATTTATTGGAATCTCTTTGTAGCATTTTTCATTCGGTAGAAATGTGATGTTCTCATAAGGTATTGGAAAGCATGTTTTTGTCTCTAATATTTCATTAGATATCCATTTACCTAAAACATATTGGGTATTTATGATTAACTTAGCTACAATGTTGCTGTCAGTTCCGCTAATTAATTTGTTTTGGTGTTCCCCGTTTATATCTTTGGCACAAAGGATACTAGTCAAATGGTTAAATACTTTTTTAACTTTCTCTGTAGAGAGTATTTCAGTAGCTGTTAGTTCTGCGGCTAATTGATTACTCAAAATTAATCCGATTCTTGTGTTTTCATTTTCTCGTTTTCTTCTTATTTTTTCCTTTAAGTTTAATATTTGGTATTGTTGTGCTGGTACTGCATATCCTTGCTCACTTATGATTAATTCTTTATTACAGTCTATTATTTTTGTGGGGTTATTTTTAAATGAAATTCCTATTTCTTTATTATCTGCTAACCAAATTTTACCCATCCATGTACCTTTCCATTTCCTAACTCTTGAAAATTTACACATTTTTTCGTTTTTTTCTTTATCTTCTGCTTCCCAAATAATCAGTGAATCATCTTCTAAAAGACAAGCTGCGTTTTCATATCGGCAATGTGAAATATCAACTCCTGGTGAAAATATTGAGGATGAATCTGGCTTAGCATAAATGCTTATTTTACTTAGGAAACAATTGGATTCGCCTGTTTCTTGATATCCGATTGACCAATAAGAGTATTCTATTTTTGCTTTATTATTTGTATGACTTGTATTTTGGTTTCCAGTTAATTCCCCTAATCTACATTTTGATTTTTTCCATATTCTGTTGCATTCTTCTATACTTATTTCTTCTTTTCTGTTTGTCGAAAAAATATGTGGTATGTTTAATAAATCCTTTTTGTATTTATAATTCGTGCTTAATATGGAACAATGTGCAGCTGGTATTGGAACAAGGTCTATATTTGGTTGATAGATGTCGAAACTGTGTGTTGTAGGGAGAGGTGGATTTTCTGTAAAATTAACACAAGGTTGGTGATTTTTCTTTATTCTCCAATACATTTGATTTTTCTGACCTGGGCATATCATTGGAGATTGTAGGAGACTTCCTGGTAACATAATTGCGAGAATGCATAAAAGAAGTATATTGTCCGTAACTTTTCGTTTTTTATGTTTCGCTCTTAGTATGATACTTTGTTCTTTAATCACCTCGTTTTCTTCATTTTTTGGGATCTCTAGGCTGTATAAATGGTTAGGTGGTCGATTTAATATTTTACCATTTCCCAATTTTAATTTTATTGATCTGTTTTTGTTATTTTCTATTACTTTTCCAATTTTCCAGCAGCCTTTTGGCAATTTTTCATCATAAATTTGAACTATCTCCCCTACTTGCGGGGTTCCTTTTGCCGAAAATTTGGGATTATTATGTTCATCTTTTCTTTCTCTTAACATTATTAGATAATTGATTGACCAGTATTCCCAAAATTTATTAATAATAGTATTATGTTT